CCAGCCCCCCAGCTGCCTGCTGGGAGCAGCCTCGGCTCCGTGGCTGGCAGCAGCTGCTTAGAGTCCAGGCTGGCAGTGGTGTGCCGACCAAAATGGCCTTGTGTGCCAAGCTCGGCACGTGCGCCAGGGATTGCTGACCCCTGACTTAGAAGTTGAAAATGGGAAAAGTCTACTTGTCCTTTTCTAGAGTGTAAAATAGGAAAGACCTAGAATATTTTAAAGACTACCCCTCCCCCCTTGGTACATAGGAAAGCATGGGAAGAAGGTAGACATTTCAAGTAGTTCAAACTGAGTTTGCTTGTTTAAAGTTTAAGGCTTGGTTCTCAAACTTTTTAGACTCAAAGTGCCACTCAGAAAATACTAGCTCTTAGTTTTTGCTCATTTTTTGACTACAGAAAAATAATAAAGCAATTTTTCTGTTGCAAGCATCACAAATATAAAAGGTCAGGACGTATTTAACACTATGGATTCCTACTTGAAGAAATCTTTTGGTTTATCTTGTGAAACACATTTATATACCTAACAGTACTAACACAGTGGCACCCTGCAGCACCCTTGCTCTTAGGGCACCATGGTTGAGAAACACTGGTTTAAGGGTAGAAACTGGGCCTGAAAGAAATCAGAAGACTGGAAGTAAACCCAAGGATGCATGAATAGATAAAGATGAATAACAGCAGTGTTGAAAGTGGGATACATGGTAGGGGTAGACAGTAAGGTAGGAGAGGGTTGGAGGTGCAGAAAGATGTCTTCTCCAACCCCATTCCTTTTTTTCCTTCCTTAACAAATTTGAAATTAATTGAGCAGCTCAGATTTCTCTTAGAAACTGTTACAGTAATTTATACAAAGCTACAATATAATCAACTACAGTTTCAGTCTGTCAGCAGACTCAGGAACAACTTTCTTCAAAACCTCAAAAAAAAATTTAAAACGAAAGCTTACATTTAGCTACAACTGGTTGTAGTTCTACCAGTCATTATCATACTGCTGACAAACCACACTGTGCAGCAGTCTTGTTACAGACTTGCTTTTGTGGTCCTGCTTCGTGCACCGTAAGTCAAACTGGATATACCAAGCTTTTTCATTAAAAAGCTATAACACAGTGAATCATAAAGATGCATTAATAATATTTTTGGAAATATTATGAATCCTCAGTATTTTATCTATCCTTATTGGGATCTAAATATGTAATAAATTATCATTCTGAAAAGCAAACCTGTTTTAAATACAAATTTTAACCTGATTAAATCATTTTAGTAGTAACATCTGTCAGGGGTACTCATTTTCCCCCCCACAGAATCATAGGGTTGAAAAGGACCTCAGGAAGTCATCGAATCCAAGCATCCAGCTCAAGGGAGGATTACCCCCAACTAAAATCACCTGTCTGTCTAACCTGCTCTTAAAAATATGGATATTCCACAACCTCTGGGTAGCCCTAACCAGCCTCATAGTGAGAAAGGTCTTCCTTATATGAAGAAAAAAAAAAAGTCTGTTATTTCAGTTTAAGACCATTGCTCCTTTCCATGTCTCCTGTGGCCACAGAGAAGTCTGTCTTACCTGGCCCTTGGAGCTGTCTCATTTGGTCCATGGTGTTACCCACGGGTCTGGAACTGTTGTATCAGTGGAATAGGGGCACCATTAACTGCAGCCTTGTGCACTGATTTGGGCCCTCAGACTGGCCCTGTGCAACTCATCATGGCCTGTGGGGCTGGATGAGTTGGGCACCACTGGTCTATCTCCACCCCTCCATATAACCACCTTTCAATATTTTGACTTTTCAGCCCCCTCCCACACTGACTCTTCTCTTTTCCAGACTAAATGATCCTAGTTTTCAACCTTTCATCTTAAGTCATGTTTCCCAAGCCTCTAATAATTTTTGTCACTCTCCCCTGGACTCTTTCCAATCTGTCCACATACGTCTTGAAATGCTGGGCCCAAAACTGGACACAGTACTCCAGCTGAGGTCTCAACAATGTCAGAGAGGGGAAAAAATTACTTCCCTTGATTTGCAAACAACACATGTTAACACAACCCAGTAGGCTGTTTTTTTTCTTTTTTACAACAAGAATATATTGTTGGCTCATATTGATCTTATGATCCACTGCGACTCTCCCAGGTCCTTTCCTGCAGCCTTGCTAGTCATTCCTCAGTCTGATTTGTGCATGCAGGACTTTGCACTCATCCTTGTTTAATTTAATGTGGTTTTTGTCATGAGGTAACCTCCCCCCACACCAAAAAACCCCGCTTAAGGTAAAAATTCCAAAATGTCTGTTTTTTAATTTTATTTACCACTGTCACAGGTAACATCTAATTATTAAGATTGAAAGATGACATCTTTTTGCTCACTTTTCAGCTTGTTCAGGTCACTGCATTTGCCAGCCTTTGAAGTTAATCAGTTTCCCCTTGTTTTTGTCGTTCATAGCGTAATAAAAAGCAAACTACTCAAATCAGTAAGGATGGTATTAGCTCTACTTCAAATTGACTAATTCATTTCTGAACTAGCTGGATTTTAAGTTAGGAATTCTTTAAACTTAATGCTTTAGTTCCATCTTCTGTAAAAGGCGGATAACACTTACTTTTCCAATAAAGTAAAATACTCAATTTCCCAACTAAGGAGCTCATGCTAACACAGTAAATAAACCAGAAAGTTATTCCAAAAAAAGGTGCTGTGAAATGTACTTCAGTATATTACTGAAAGAAGGAGCTTTGAGATCCTCAGATATAAGCAATATAGCCGTTTCCTTAGAAGTCAGACATACCAAACCCTGATGAATAAGGATAGATTTCAGCATCTTTTTCTTTATAAACTCAGCCCATTTCATAAAATTATAAAAGTAGTCCAATTAAAGATAAACAGAATAAATTAAAGTAATGCATTGTTGCAGCAAGTTACCTCATGTAACGTTTTTGCTTCCTGCAGATTCTGCACGCTGACTTTAAAACCGTAAGAGTTGTTTAAAGATGGTCCTTCAATCTGAGAAGTTTCTTTCTTTGGGGCATTGAGGAGAGCAAACTGATTCTGTCCAAAGAAATACATACAACAGAAAGATGAAAACGGCTCTAGTTTTCATTTATCAAAACAGTGCTTATTTTTTTGGCAAACAAAAGTAAAAAGGTACTGTTTTTCAATTATAAACAAACTTCCATTTACAGTATTTTCTTGTGCTCATTTCCTATGGGAGAGCTACTGCTGTATCAAACTCCCTTTCAGTTCTAATTTCAATGAAATCACAGTAATTTAGCAAGCAATAAAGAAATGACAGATGTCTCACACAGAATCAGACACAAGTTAAACATACTGAACTCCAGGACCAAAGTCTAGAGCAACAGAATTACGTAACTGTCTTTGAACTTTCTTACAAACTTGATGGTAAAAGAACAAAAAGCAAATCTGTACGTACTTTTGCACCTTATCAGGACAGCACCTAGGGCCCCTGGCAGATATTACATTTCTCAGGTGATTCGCCAAGTTTCATACATTAAGTAGCAATATGCCAGATATTCAATCAATTGATTGTATGATAAAAAGGACAAACCCACTTCACTCATTTATTGTGAAACTTCTGTGGCAGGCATGCACTGCATGTTAATTTGAACAGTTAGCATGTTACTTAGACCGTATAGTATCACACAGCTCTGCTCTTCCTACCACCCCTCCCACCAAGGGCAATAAATAGGCCACAAAGTTATTCCACGCTGTAGCAAGTGCTTGTCCCAGGGGTGGGACCCTGGTGACTGCTCAGCCCTTGCTAACTTGGCTCCCTTTGGGCACTCTCTCCTTTACTCACTCACCATGCCATGATGTTATTAACTTCTGAGGAAAAGGGAAGCTAGCCCAGAGCTTCCCAAGCCTGGTCTTACTCTTACAACCACAGGTACCTATGGTTATTGCCTCAAGGGCTAATTACGTGGGCTCCATCCTTCCCAGTACCCAGCTCCATGCCTCGCAGATGATATGCTAACACATGCCCTGTCTGGGCTACAGGCCTTGCTCCTCCTGTGCTATGGGCTCTTTGGCCCACCCAGTCCCTGGCAGTGGTCCCTGACTTTTGGTCTCCCTAGACCAGGGGCTGGCAATTATTTTGGCTGGAGTGCTGCTTAATGAGTTTGGGCGAGCAGTTGATAGCCCCACCCCTTGAAAGGTGCCCTGCCCCCTGGTTGCCATCTTGGGACCAGAATTCCTCCCTGAACCCCTGACCTTTGCCACCAGAAGTCCTACCCCCCTCCTCTCCCCAGGTCCCCCTGAAATACTCCTTTTGGGAGGAGAGGGTTGTCAACCTCGAATCAGAAGAAAAACAAATCTTACACTAAAAGTCAAACACCTACTATGTTTTAATTTTATCACAAAAAATACTTTTGTCAGGATTTGTGTACTGTATATAGAGATGACTGCATAATAATTAAAAAAATAAAGTCTTACTCCTGTATATTTTGTGTGTGTGTGTGGGGGGGGGAGGGGGGCAGGGTGAGG